CATCATTAATTAGAATACAAAAATATTATGTGTATAGTAAAAAAGTAATGATGCCTAACTTCTCAATCAGCTTACTTCTTTCTCCTTTTCGTGGATGTCCATGACATTTGAGTCACCTTTTTAATTCTTTCCCACTCATTGTTAATCAAAACAGTACGAAACAATTAAATTGGCGCTGTTTCAACATGGCGGCTGCGCTTGTACTCGTCACATGATGAAAAGATCCATTGAAAAACGGTCGCAATTTTATAAATATAAGAAAACATGTATTTTTTGTAGCAAAAGGTTAATCGCATACGTGCAATATTGTTTACATATCTTTTATCGTTTTATCATTACATCATTTTCATTTTTTAAATCTCATAAAGAACTTATCAATATACATAAATAGACACTGTTTATTACTAATGAAAAAACAAATGCATTAATTTATTTGGAACGGATGTTAGAAAGTAGTATTATAATAAAAAGTAACTACGAAAGTAGATATCGATTACTGATCAGGTTAAACTATAAAATAACTAAGTACATTGGAATTACTATTAACAGATGCAAAATTAACAGTTATTTAAAGAGATCTAGTTCAATCAGTAATGGCACACAGAATATCTAAAAATATAACTACTATACAATTATAATTAAAAATACTTTATTTATTATGTTTGGACTAGACAAGGCGAAAAGTTCGGGTTCGTTCGGAAAATTATTCCCGTGGGACTTTTTTGCATAATCACTTTCATGAGATATTCCAAAATAAGGCTCAAGAGGTCGCCAAGGCGAAAAGTTGTACAATTTTTTTTAAATAATTTCTGTAAACAAATTGTAACAATCCATTTTTTGGGCCAGAACAATTTTTTTTAATTTTTCGGATTATTTTGAACAAAAAAAGTCTCGTAATTTATCTGCAAACTTGATCGTTTTCGAGTTATAAACAATTTAAAACTGAACAAAAAAACGCAAAATTACGATTTTCAAGGTTCAAAAACACAAGTAAAAAACAATATTTTCGAATTCATCAAGAACCTAAATCTAAGTTTAAGCCTCCTTATTAGCTCTCCACGAAAATTATGGACTAATTTTATTTTAAAACATTGGTTTTTAATTGTTAATGAAGCGCCTATGGCAGGATGGTAGCTCATTTGTACAATGAGAATTTAAACCAGTAAAAATTTGAGCCATAGATCTTATTTCTCTCTCTAATACACGCCGCAGCCCGAGTGTCCGTCCTGTCATGACCGCTGTCATGCTCATGAGCCAAAAATGCCACTGAACCTCTAAAAATCATACCAACAATGAACATATGAAAGTGTTCGCTTAGAAACAAAACTTGAAGCGACCGTCGATTTTGCATGTCAGTTATGCGCGCGAAATCAATGTTAAATAAAATTTGTATCAGCTCGACGGTAAAAATGCGATATCTTCGATTCAAGTGACCTATCGACAAAAATAAAAATGCAATTTCAAGGTAAAGAGTTTAGCTTTTGTATGCAGTTTTTGTATTTTGCCACAAATAAACTCAGATTATATACAGGTGTTAAACACACCTGGCGCGATTTTTGCCATTTTTTATGATTCTCACGAGATTAATACAATCTATCCTTTTCATTGACTGGCCACTATAAAGTTTAGATTACTAGAGCCTCACCGTTACAACCTATAACATGAAATTTTAGTTTTGAATTTTGGCAACAAATGTGAGGCATTTGAAATATGCTTAGAAAACGGTGGATTTAAACTTTGACACAACAAACGATCTAAAAAAAATTTTTTCAATTAGACTAGTACGTTTTACAAAAGAACAAAACTTTTGCCATAAACTACATCCATAACTGTCTTCTTAAATGCATTTCCCGTGACGTATGATCGTTTGTGATTATTTGTTACCACAACTCAAAATTGAAATTTCATGTCATAGGTTTTAAAGACTTATTTTTAAAAATAGAAATTTTACTACAACTGATTAATGAAAGTGACCAATTTTATTGATCTCACGAGAATCGTAAAAAATGACAAAAATCTCGCCACCTTAATTTATTTAACACCTTTATAATCTTAATTCCTAAACTATAGTGTAGTTTTTTTAATACGGAGTTCTCTACTATGTTTTCATGTGGCCATACAATGTTTTTTAACAACTTTTTATGTAAGTAGTAAAAAACCAACGTGTTCTTTTTATATATTTAAATTTTAACTTACTTGTTTTTTAATATTGGTATTTTTACTCTGTAATCATCATCTGTATCATCGGTAAACTGATGATGGAATGAGTCAATTCCGAAAAGATCTTCTTTAAAATAAAAATTTTAAGCTTTTAATAAGCATTTTTTTATACCTTAATACACACGACCACCACGTGTTGTGTAATCAGAATCTCCTTGTAAGAAACCATTTCTTTTATCTCCACTTAAACTTCTTATCAAAAATACGGAATTATTTAATTCCTGCCTGGTAGGTACATAGAAAAACATTGAACATTGAAGAAGTATCACGAAATTGTCATAATTTAAAATCAATATTTCATATATTATAATATAGAAGATTTATTGAAAGTTTTTAAAATTTCCTACTACACTCTGGATATTTTGTATGCTTAATCTTAGTTTTTTTTATATATATAATTAAGTGTATTTTATAATTATTAAAAGAATCTGACAACCTATGTTCTATGTGCATATTTTTCATTTTGGAATACTATACTACTAGTATTGAATCAATACCAATATCTTTTGCAAAAGATTAATTAATCCATTTTTTAATTATTAAGATTATAAAAATATTGAATCTCTAAACTAAGTAACTGAAAAGATGTATACACCTACTTTTTTATTAACAACTATTTACAATATTTTCTCAGAATATAGATCACTATCGGTTTACTTAATCTTAACCTTTTATAAAAGTCTTTATCATTACAAAAATTAAAATGTTCAATTCTGCATCAAATATTATATTCTCGTACTTCTCGTACGTAAGTTTATAAACATTAAACATCATACTGATCATACTCTCCGATTTCATTAAATCTTCTAGTATCCATGTCTCTAACCTACATTAAACAACAATATTTAGGTTACATTTTTAATTTCGCGATAACCTACAACATAATAACTGACTACAATAAACACAATTTATTTTCCAGATAACTTTTTATTCAGTACTTTATTTGGCAAATAAATATTTTATATTCCATACGACAGATAATTTTAATTTATTTTATCTGTCAGTTTGTCTGTTCAGATTTCTTTTCTAGGTGACGCTAGAATTTTAAAACTAAACTAACATAAAACTTTAATTTATTTTGTATTAAATCCTACCTTCCAATCGGAGATGATAGATTGTACACGATACACTTCGCTGTCGACCAAGTCATTCTAGCTGCAGACGAGAGTGATATAAGCTACATGCTTAAAAAACTGGAAGATGAGTACACCAAATGGGGCTTCACAATTAATATACAAAAAACTGAGTACTTAGTTTTAGGAGAAAAACCAGAAAGCCTACAAATCGAAATGGGAACTATAAAACCAACAGACAATTTTAAGTACTTGGGAGTCCAAATAACATCAAAAGCAGGAAGTAGCGAAGAAATACATTCCAGGATTGGCCAAGCAAGATCAGCCACCAGACAGCTACACGGACTATTATGGAATAAAAAAATAACAAAAGAAAATAAAAGAACAATTTATAAAACAATAATAGAAAGTATTGGACTGTACGGCGCCAAACTCTGGGAAATAAACCAAAGAAACAAATCAAAAATTAAGGCCATGGAAATGAACTACTCGAGACGATGTTGCCAGCTCACTAGACTTGATAGGGTGAGAAACGAAGATATTCGGAGACAAATGGAAATCGATCTAGACATAATAGACACAATCGAAGCCAAAAGACTTAACTGGTATGGACACCTTCAGAGAATGCCGGAAAATAGATGGCCAAAAAATAGAAGAATGGACTCCGCCAACTAGAAGAAAACGAGGTAGACCAAGACGATCCTGGAGAGACGATGTCGACGATGCAATGACCGCCAGAGATCTAACAACTGAAGATTGCTTCGACAGCAAAAGCTGGAAATTTGGATGCGAGAAGCGGCGCCAGCCGTAGAAGACTCACTTGTTACATATCGTTTCAAAAACAAAATATGATTGACTCATAGGTTGAAATATCAGTAGTTCCGATTTTTTGTTTAGTTTGGCGTTAGGATTTGAAATCTAAATTACCATAAAGCTTTAAATTGTTTTGTATTCAATTCTAATTTAGAAATATTATTAAAATTAATTAATAATTCCATTAATATGTAATTAATTATTAATTAATTAATTAATTAATTAAATTAATTAATACAGTATTATTAATTAAACGTATCGATTCAAAAACAAAATATGATTGAAATGTCAAAAGGTGGTAGTTCAGATTTCTTTCCTAGATGGCGTCGTTAGTTTACTAGACAAACGATGTCACTTGTCATCAGATATAGATAGATTATATATTTGCATGCATGGTTCTATAAGATTTATATACGAGCGTGGAATTTTTTCATGATCGTGTGGAAGTTTAGATTTGCATCATTCGTTTATCCTAAATTTTATAATATCTTATCCGTGGTCCAGTATTGTCTGTCTACTAAAAAATGTCTTGATCGGCCCCTAGACGAGAAGCAAGTGACCCCGTATGTTTCCTCATCATATTATTAATTATCCGTTAATTTGGTACTAGGGATATAATTGTGTATTTTTCTGAATGACTTTTGTCCATGCCATTAATATATAGTATATATTGTTAGGATTATTATATTATATTATTGAATTTTTTAGTTCACTGTATAAAACATATAACCAAAATACTGATGAAAGTTCTGAAATAAATTTTAAAATTGGATCTTTGGAATTATCCCCAAACAGTTTAGTTCATCCCGTCTCTGTGTTTTTCACTGAAATCAGAGTGGGGACATCGATATCTCTATCTAAATCATGATTCCAGAGAATATTTTAACAAAAGTCGCACCGTCAGGTGATCAGGAAAATAACAACGAACTTGTTTTTTTTATGCAGATGTTTTTATCAAAAAGCATGTCTTTTGTAGTTTTTGAAGTGAAAGTGTTTTTCCTAATAGTTATAAAAATTAATTATTTGGTATGTATTCAGAACGAGTTGGTGGTTCGAGTTACTGGTGGTCCTTTTGTTGCACAATTGTTAGCCGAAGAGCATGGACATCTTTATAAGGGACCAGTAAGTTGTAAGATTAATGATAATATTAACAGTAAAATAAATCTAAATTGAAAAAAAAAACACAAAAAAATTGTAACAAGTACTAAATTCATATTCGGTGTAATACAACTTTGTTAATTACACACTATAACGGACGTTAAACTTAAAAGGTATATTAACTTTAATAAACCAATTAAATTCTTTTTGGATAATAAAATATAACAATTCGGGAAATTTTTGGGAAAGCCTAAAAATATTGTTTAGAATAATGATAAACGAAATTTAAAAAAAATAATAATAATTACAAAGTTTTTTTCCTACCCGATATTTAATATTAATTATTAAATATAGAATAGCGATATCAGTATCAGCAAATAACACTTTAAACACGAGTTGAGTACAAAAGTTTTCCGTACAAAATTGTATATGCATTTGTTGATAAATTATTATTAGAACCCAATATTAGTTAGAAGTTCAATAAAAATAAATAAACCCTTAAGCTTAGGATTAAGAATGAATAAACTCCGAATGAAGTAAGAATTGATACCTATATTACTGTTTTAATATAAAATACAAAAAATATGGATTAATCAATTAAATACGGCTGATTTAACCTCTATATATTTCTTAAAAACTAATTATACACCACCTGTAAAAACATTTATAACATACAATAAACTTACGGGGGGGGGGGGGATAGGGCTAATTTAGGATAGAATAATATTTTAAACATATGTTTCGAGTTATTTTTGAAAAATTGTTTAATATAAATTTATTTATAATATTAATCATAGATCATTTCAAAAGTATTTCTGAAATTTCAAACCAGCTGAATTTTTCCGAGAATATTAGTTTTTCTGACCACAAAAAATATGCAAAAAAGTTTACCACTTTTACCCCTGGGCTTCCATCTAAAACCCCCCTTAGAGAGGAAAAAAAACGTGAAAAAATTAATTTACCAAGCATCTGTACATCGCCGAAAAAATGTTTCAAATAAAAAATGTAGCTGAGATAATTTTAAAAATGTTTATAAATATTTTTTGTGTAGAATAAACCGTTCTCTTAGAAACAACGCTTGAAGAGACCGTCAATTTTACATGTCAGTTACGCGCGTGAAATCAATGTTCAATAAAATTTGTATCAGCTCGACGGTTAAAATTCGATATCTTTTGATTTAAGTGACCTATCGAAAAAAATAAAGATGCGTTTGAATGGTAATTAGTTAAGCTTTCGTATGCAGTTTTGTATTATTATAAATAAACATTATACAGAGGTGTTAAATAAATAAACGGAGCGCGATTTTTGCCAATTTTTACGATTTTCGAAGATCAATTAAATTGGTCACTTTCATTGACCATTTCTAGTAAAATTTCCATTTTTAGAGATCAATATTTAAAACCTATGATGTGAAATTTAAATTTTGAATTTTGGTAACAAATATGAGGCATTTGAAATAAATAAAAAACGTAAAATTTAATGTTTTATATTACAAATGATCACACGTCACGGGAAATCAATTTGCAGTCTTTGTATTTTGCCGCAAATAAACTCAGATCTTATACAGGTGTTAAATAAATAAAAAATGCACGATTTTTGCCATTTTTTATGGTTCTCAAGAGATTAATAATTAAATAATTAAATGCATTTTCCGTGAGGTGTGATCATTTGTAATATAAAACATTAAATTCTCTGTTTTTTCCTCATTACCCTTACGGACCCTTAACGGGCCCCTAGGCGAGAAGAGAGTGGCCCTGTTTACCTGTTTATTGTTTTGTATATTTATTTTAATTAAACTCAGACAACCATTTCTACACCAAGTTGAGTCTGACTGAATGACTAAAAGTCTATGCCAAAAAAAAACGTAACTTCATGTGGATCATGTGTTGAAAAAAAAACCAAAATACTTCGCTAGTTTCACAACCTAGAAGTTTCTCTAAGTTGCAACGTCGACTTATTATTCATTTTATTGTTTTTTCAATTTTAAAAAGTAATAAAATGCGAATTCTTCGAATTTTAAAAATTTTATTGTTTAACTTTGACTAAATTGATGTAAAATAATTAATTATAACAACAACGTGGACAAAAAACAAGCAATTTTTAAGTTACAGTGAACACCGACTTGAAAACAGTATTTCGAGAAAGACGAGTTTAAAAAAAAAGTATATTTTTTTTTTACACAAAATCGTCTATTCCACTCCTATAAAGGATTTCCAAAAATTCTCCTAACAAACGAAGACCAGAGATATCTGATTCGTTAAATGATGTAGGTACCTTTACATATTCGGCAAAACTTGGTTGGTTTCTACATGACAACTATTCGGCCAACTATAGCAGGAGTACGTAACTGGAAGAGGCTGCCAGTTGCTTGGTCAGCAAGGTCGCTGGATTTTATTCTTGCGATTATTGTATTTGTTCCGTTCCCATACAAAATCGTGCAAAACTCTGGGGAAGGATACAAGATGCTTGCAATGAATTTAGAAATGAAAATATCGTTGTTTTTACCGAAATCACAATCTGTTAGTACGCTCTAACCTAGAATGCCAGTACGGTTTCAAACAAGTACGTTTTGCGAAATTACACAACTTCAGCTGCAAATTGCACATACTACCGTCTTCGTGGAAACATTTCCCGTGAAGTGAGATCGTATTAGTAATAAGCCCGGAACAGAAGTAGGTTTTTGCTTGTTTCTTGGGGTCCCACAATTGATAAACTCAGCCAAATTCAGCTTGTTGGTATAATTTTTAGAGGTTACAGAAGTAGTATTTTTCCATCCTCTTCTCTATTTTAGAGGTTTAGTGGTATTTAGCTTTTAATTAAAAAGCTAAAATTTAGAAAAGCAGAAGTTGAAGATGGAATGACAGCTGATATACTAAACAAAATGGGAGAATTAGAGACGGAACTAATGCTTAGAATTTGCAATGAGATCTGGAATACCGGAAAGTGTCCAAATGACTGGGGTAAGCTCACGTTTATTCTCATACATAAAAACATAAAAAAAGTTCACCGACAGATTGCGGAAATTACCGTACTGAAGCATTGATATCACATGAGAGCAAAGTACTTCTAACCATCATCGATGAAAGACTAAAATCAATTCTCTTACCCCAAGAACTCCCAAACTCCACAAGAACAATGCGGATTCGTCCCAGGTAGAGGAACAAGAGAATATATTCGTCAAATTATCGAAAAATCTCGAGAGTCATAGAAACATATTTATGATTTATTGACTATTCCAAGGCCTTTACAAAACTACATGTAAATAATACTGCTAATGTAAGAGTTAATAATGTGGTCTCGAAAAACTTCAAATTAAAATCTAGAATTCGATTCGACAGAGATACATAATATATTGTCCCCTATTCTATTTAATATATATATATATATATACATATATATAATATATATATATAATATATATATATATATATATATATATATATATATATGTATATATATACATATATATATATATATATATGTATATATATATATACATATATATATATATATATATATATATGTATATATATACATATATATATATATATATATATATATATATATATATATATATATATATATATATATATATCCTCCTAACATTGCAGACTCTGCATTAAGGTTTTTACCATACACAACGGACTCGAGCGATTTATGGACTCAATATACAGAGTCCGTAAAGTTTTTCATGTATTTCTTTTAACTGATTGTTATTTTCTACCAAAATTTTATTGAATGAGAAACTAGAGACCTCTACCTACTGCACCAATGTATTACAAAAATTGTGGGTATTATAGAATAGCTGCAAATTATAAAACAAAATGAGTCCGTAAAGTCGCCTTTAATTCAGCCATTTGCCGTGGAGAGCGCTTTTATGAGTATACTGAATGTGTATATCACTTATGTGTTAAACCATATTGCCATATTACAGACTCGACTTAGGTGGCAACAGTGTTGTTCAACTATTGAATCATTTTATCTGGCTCAAATTACAGAGTAAGATTGTTTACGTTCATATGGTGATGTTATCGTTCATTTTTATGTGTTGGAAAATGTATTGGTATGCAGTGTATATATTTAGTAAAATAAACGAGGATATATTGTTTCACAGAAATTACTTCGACACTGAAATTTTTAATAAACGAACACGTATTTCTATTTATATACTCGTATAGAATAAGCTACTTATTTTTTATTCAATTGAAAAGTTACATTGAGATTAGATTTTTGAAAGGACGCAATTTAATTTTTTTGATATGTGGTGTGGTGAGTATAAACTTCAATTCAAGTTTGTGAAGTCGCAACCCTTGTTCCCAGGCCGTCATCTTGGAAAAAGAGAGGCAAAGGGTTTTTGCGCTGTATCTCGTAAATTAGCAACTCTACAGAAAATTTTATAAATCATTATTTTTTCCAAATTAAATTTTCTACTTTATCTGTATTACTTTTTATCGGAAAATAAAAAATAAAAAAGTTATAAACCAAAATAACTAAAAAATTTTGAAAAATTTTTCTATTGTGCTTTTCGCTTATAACTTTTTCTAGCGATTTTACAATAAAACAATAATTAAAAAAACAATAAATTAAAAAAAAATGGATGGTTGTGTAGCTGTGTGAAAACTTTTGTAAATGGATTCCGTTAATAAATAAAATGATATCAGAGCAATATCATAGAGTAATCTTCACTACAAATTTGTTTAATTTCATTCATTTTCTAGTTTTTGCAGCGCTCCAATGTTGATTGGGTCCTTGAATACTCGCCATCTTGAAATAGGGAGTGTAAAGGAGAGTGAAAATTTTATAAAACATTATTTATAGCAAATTAAATTGTATTTATTTATATAACTTTTAATCGAAAATTGAAAAAAAAAGTTACAAACAAAAATAACTAAAATCTTTGAATAAATCTTTTGGGCCTTATAACTTTTTTCTGGTTATTTCAAAATAAAATTACATTAAATCGACCTTAAGCTTAGTTTTTTTACTACATATTTTTTTCTTCATATCATTTATTATTTTGTTAA